TGCAGACAGACGATTGCGCCGAGCGCCTCGATGCACGTTTCTTCTTGATCTGCTCCTCTGGGCAGCACGCGACCCCCATCGGGCGCCCAGCCTCGAGCATGTAGCCCCGTGGGGTGCCCTAGGAGGAGCGGGGTCGTCTGGTTGAGGCCCCTGGATCGCCAACAAATTCAACAAAAGGCGGGGCAACATCTTGAAAAAAGCTGGGTGAAAACCTCGGCCCGAAACATGAGATGGCGATGTGGACGGAGAGGGAGGGGGCAGTGGGGATGGGGGGAGAACGAGAGTGTGGGTGATAGTGGTTACCCGATGTCGACACGTTCGGGGCCTCTCAATATCGACGTCGCCTCGTCCTCCTCCCCACCCACCTTCCCCCCCTGATCCTGCCCATATAACCCCCGACCCCGATGCTGAGACCTGGGCGCTCGATGCGGGGGTCGCGCATTCGACGTCGAGCGCATGCGATGTCGATGTCGAGTCCTTGAGCTGGTTATTGTACTCGAACGCCTGTGCGGGCGCAGGCTCCCGACCCGCGGCGATCTCGCTCGCGACCACGAGGGCGGCCAAGCAAGGCACCGTATTCCGGTCGGGGTAGTGCAGGCCGAGGGTGTGCACGAAGTACTCGCCAACCTTATCGAGCTTCGCCTCGACCCCCAGGTGGGGGTCCTGTAGCAGCGCCCACATCTCCGTCGTCAGGTAGTGCTCTGGGTACTGGTGCGTCTGGTACTGCACGTTGAAGTTACGCCCGTCACGCTTGTCCGTCATGGCGATGTCCATCGTCACCGACTCCGTTACTGCAGTCATCAGCTCGCGCTTCTGGGCGGCCGCGAGGATGTCTGTCGCGTTGATGGCGTGTACGGTCTGAGTCGCGTCATCCCTGGCGCAACCACCACGACGGACGATCATCTTCACGTGGGCGACCTGGCGCTCGATCACCTGGGCCCGATCCGCATCCTCCATCTGGGCGGTCACCGCCCGCGCGAAGTCGACGACGCCCTTGAAGGTGGCGAGACACGACGCCCTTGCGGTGGGTGCCGCCGCCGCGCTCGTCATGGCGATGCCGGTGCGGACGCGCTTCGGCGTCGATTGCACCTAGGCGCTACGAGCCCAAATGGCGACGGCAAGATGGTGATGCATAAGGCCCTGCCCCCTCCTCCAGGCCCTCCCCCATCTTCCAGCCCACCTCGTCCTGACCTCCCACGCGGCCCATGAGGCGCTGGGCGTACCAGTTTGGGTGGCCCGATTCGCGACCACCTCGATCGCAGCCGACGTCGATGGGTGACGAGGTGATGGTCACCATGACCATCACCTGTCCGTGGATTGACGAGGTGATGGTCATGATGACCATCACCTCGTCAATCCACGGAGAGGTGATGGTCATGGTGAACATCACCTCGTCAATCCACGGCGAGGTCATGGTCATGGTGACCATCACCTCGTCACCAACTATCTTCGCTCATGGCCGCTGGGGTGGCTGGACGCGCCCAACGATTGCCCATGTCAGCGCTCGCGCGCGCCTCGTTCGGCACCCCGTCGCATCAATGGCCCATCGCTCGTCAGCCTGATGCCCCCCCCCGTTTCCCCCACTCCCACCACCTCCTCATGTCGCTCCCACTCCCCATCCTCCTCCTCGACGGGGGGGGGCGGCCTGCGCCTCGACGGCGCCCGCGACGTGCGGCGCGGCGGGGGGGCGGCGAGAGAGCATCAGCGAGGGAGCACCCATAGTCGATGCGACGACGACGACGACGACGACCACGATGAGGGCCATCGCGGGACCAACAGCGCGTTGCACAAACAGTTCAAGGAGATGGGGGGGGGTCGTCCACGATCGCGCGGCGAACGCGCGCCAGGCACGCTGCCACCGACGACGACGAACGACGACGACGGCGGCGGCGGCGGTGGCGAACGACGACGACGACGACGGCGGCGGCTCTGTTTTTTGCATCTGCAGCGGCGCCGTCTCTAGCCGAGATCGACAGTCGACTGTGCCCTGCTCCTCGCGCTTATCATCTGCGGCGCTGCGAGGGCCTAGGCGGGGTCCTCGAAGGCCTTGGCTGCGGCGCCTCGCTGCGCGACGCCACGCGCGGCTCCACCGCGTCCTCGACCATCAAACTCGAAAACACAAGTCGACATCGATTCAGCAGCAAGCCGCGAAAGAGGTTCCATGTACCCTAAGGGGCCCCGAAGAGAGGTGGCGCCGCACTTAAGTACACACCGCAGCCTCGCACCGTGAGCACGGGAGGTTGCGTCTAAGGTCGTCGTCGTCAGCCTACCGACGCCACTGGCCCGTGTGATACTGCTGCTCCAGGGCCTGCCGCGCGTTCGTCACGCACTTGTGAACGAACTTCGACGGGTTCGTGAGGCTCCCCTCGCCCATCTTCTTGAACAGCTTGTACAACACGTTGTTGGCCTCGCGATGACCCTCATCGCTGAACTGGGCCAGGAGGAAGACGCTCTGCTGGGCCGTCTCGTCGATCTCGTATCGACGAAGAAGGCCGAGCCAGGCGCGAGGGTCCCGCTCGAACGTGGCCCAGACGAGCTCCTGCACCTCCTCAGCGACCGCAGGCGCCTCCTCCGCGGCCGCCTTCCATCGACTTCGATGTATTTAGCAAGCCTGAATTTCGATAGTCGGGGGCCATATGTGCGGCCAGGGACTCGGGGCAGGGGGCGGGGTCATGACCACTCGGGGGCACTCAGGACCAGGGAGGGCAACGCTGGACTACAATGTGGTTCACGTGAAACGGCCTTCTGTTCCACCTCCATGCTCACTGGCGTTGCAGATGATGAGTTAGCGTCGACAGTCGAGGTGGCTTCGCCAGCTGCTCGAGGATCGACTTCTGATAACTTCCCGGCCTTGGCGCCGCCATTTCATTCGTAGGAGGGGAGGGGTCTCAAAATAGACTTGGCACCCAGAATGAGGATGAGGGAGAGGATGACGATGGGGAGGAAGCGGGGGGGGAAGGAGGAGCAAGATGAGGGGCAGATGGGCGGTGGGCGAGATAGCTGGGTGCGTGAGCGAACTGAGACAGACGCACGTGCTGAGGCTCCTGGACCGCCACAAAAAAAACAATGAAAGGTCGAGCAAAAAAAAAACTGAACGTAGACCCCCCGCACTGGAGATGGCGATATGGACGGCGAAGGAAGGAACATGGGGGAGAGAACGAGAGCGCGGGTGGTAGTGGTTACTCGATGTCGACGCTTTCGGCGCCTCTCGATATCAACGTCGCCTCCTCCTCCTCGGCCACCTCCTCCTGCTCCTGGTATCTCTCCTCTTCCTCCGCATCGTCGGACTCGCGGGCGTAGACCCCCCGCGTTGGCACTGGGCGCCAAGCACTGCTGGTCCCCGACTTGCCGTAGACGGGGCCAGCCTCCTTGCCGCCCTTGGTGCCGCCCTTGCCGCCCTCGCCGATCCCGCGCGACTTCTCGGCCCGCGGCGGCGACCCTGGCGGCGGCACAGGCCCGACATTGCGCACCATGTGGTACTCGGTGTAGACCCAGTCCCACAGGCTCTTCCACGCTGGGTACGCCATGTGGTCGTCCCTGACCGCCTGGCTCTCGTAGAGCTGAGAAGAAGGCGCGTCGCCGCCCTCCGCCAGCTCCCATGCCTTCCCAGGCGCCATCCACGCCTTGACGCTCTCCAGCATGCTGATGTGCCCGCGCTTACCGCACTGCTCGCCCGAGTTGAAGATCTTCGAGTTGTACACGCGCACGTGCATACCCTCGACCTTGTTCCTCGACATTATGAAGTTCAGCATCGCGTTGCACATGCGGCCCACCGTGTCGCTGCGATGAAAGCCGTGCTGGCACTCCACCAGGACGAGGATCGACGGCCACTCCTTGACCTTGTAGTTCGACACCTCGATGACGATGTCCTTGCACGCGTCGACGAACCCTGATTGTGACATCACCGTATTCTGGGTTTGTGCGTGAAGGCCGTTCTCCTTGTGTCCGATCGTCTTGCTCGGGTCTTTCGTCAACAAGCGCCTGACGTCGAAGCGAATGACTTTCGACCTCATGCGCTCGCACTCGTGCGCGGTATCGTTCACCAAGTCCTTGTGGATCTGGCCATAGGTGATGACACCCACGACCTGCGCGAACTGCATCGAGCGGCTCTCCTCCATGGCGCAGGAAGAGTACAGGAAGAGAAGGTTGTAAGAGTGCGCTGCAGCACAGCCGAAGGCGCGCGCGTGCACTCAAAGAGCAGCAATGGCTAGTAGGCGATGGTCGATGGGCCAGCCTCGATTGTCGAGTGTCGATTGTCGATCTGGAAGATAAGCCAACTGCAGCCCAGCAGTTCGCACAGCGACTTTGAGCTCCCCTATAGGCGCCAAGGTCAGTTCCGCACCCAGCAAAACCCGTCAGGGCTGCCCAAGACACAGGAACCCAAGGGCGAGCAAGCTCACCACTCCCAAGGGCCCAGCGAGGACAAACCCATCAGGGCGACGAATGAACCAGGACTCCAGCCTGGATTTAGAATATGAATAAGGGGAGCTCGAGACCGCTTCTGAGACACCCGTGCTCTTCGACATCGATTGCAGCTGGCTCCAACTCCAGGGCACAATGCAACATCCAAGGCAATATCAAGTGCAATCGCGATGAGGCAAGTATTACGACATACTACGTGCACCTATATACGTACACATATAACACTCATGTAAGCATTGCCACATAGTACCTGCACACATGTATATATATATATGCATATATATATATAGACAAATCACCCTCATACGCAGAGATATGTATATATAGACACTTGTATATATGTGTAGATATATATGTGTAGAGATATATGAAGAAATATTATAGACCCATGTATGTACGTAGAGATATAGACAGGCCCAAGAGGAACAACCTCCACCACATCATATGAGCAGCAGGGCTTGGACAGGACGGGTGAATGAGGAGGACGCTGAGGAAGGGGGAAGACAAGGAGGAAGGAGGAGGACGAGGAGGAAGGAGGAGGAGAACGATATCGATCCTTTTTTTCCGTGCCAGCCCTGTCACGAAACTCTGTCGTCCTCGACTTCGACAAGCTGGTCTTTCTCGTCGTCGGCGGCAACGCCGTCGGAGGTGCCAGCATTGCTCTGAGAGTCCTCACCTGCCTGAGCTGATTCGAACAACTGCATCGCCTCCGCCGCGGAGCTCGCTGTCCTGTACCTCACGCTCACACGGCCGTCATCGCCTGTACGTTTCAGCACGAACTGGCTCTTGGTGTAAGAGAAGCTCAGCCCAGGATAATCCTCAGTGTCGACCTTGAGCTCAGCAGGAACCTTCTCGGACGGATGCTGCCCGTGGACGATTCCCGACTTGATCTCGACCTCGCAGCACGCCTTCAAGTACATCACGAGGTCCTCCTCCAGCTGCACATACCGGGGGGCCCCAGGCCTGTCGATAATGACCTTGACAGGGATGCCCTTGATGTCGCCCATGGTCGGACCATGTACCGTCGCTGTGGTGCCCTGAATCTCGTCGTGGTTCGACCTGAATCGTTTCTTCCATGTCCTGGAGCCAGGCGGCGGTAAGGATGTCTTCTCCATTCCGTGAACGCTTAGCTGGTCCAAGGAGGCTAGCAATGACGATCTGTATGCGTCATCTCTAAGGCGCTCCAATGTTTCACAAATCGATGTGTTAACAAGAGGCCTGATGCCCTTGGAACGCGGATGCCCAAGAAGCTTCATCACCACATCGCAGCTCTTCTTGAGGTGAAAGAATACACAACCGTTCAGCTCCCTGCAATTATCCAGAATGACTGGCGAAGCCATGCGAGGGGCGCGCACGCGAACAACTTTGTCCACGCACCAGGCCATAGCATCCACCATGTGTCGGATATCGATATCGACGTATTCCTAGAAGCGCGCGGGAGCGCATCTACATCTGGAGCCAAACAAGCAACGCGCGACGTCGAGCGATAAGCGCATGCGACTTTCGATTGACGTGGCGTCGTGAACCGCGTTCCCCGAAAGAACAAACACACAAGGTTTGGAGCCTAAGCGTCTTAAGTAAGTTGTAAGTGGTTTAAGTGTATACGCGGCCCTGGATAAACGTTCTAAGTTTCGAGCTCGACCGCGATTTGGAACTGGGCACGGCGACGACGATGACGCCGACGAAGCGGACGACGACGACGACGATTATGTATATTCGTGGTAACTATTGCAAGAACTCCAAAACTCCATGGGAATCCAACAGTCCATGATCGATGTCGATGCCTCATCTCTACATCGCTCCACTGCTTCGCAAATCGATGCGTGCATGTATGTCTACCTGCTGCGCGCTACTTTCTTCATGGTGGACACCTCGATGGTCGGCGGAGTGGGCCTCTTCCGCGGGGCAGCGGTCGCGACCTTGGGAAGCGTGAGCTCGTCTCCAACGTTCAGAGCCATGACGTTGGTGACTACGGGGATCTTGATATCGTACACTTTAGCGTTGCCCACAGATACGGCCACCGAGTGCTTAGTGATGGCGCAATTCGGCTTCGTCGACTCCGTGCTGTCCACGTGCCTCATCTTGAAAGCAAGGCTCGGCGCTTTAGCGCCAGGGTCCGAGAGGGCGAAGGGCCCCGCGATCCTCTCATCAGGGCTGGGCACATCGAAGTAGGGGCGATCGCTCTCGCCGCACTGCTTGACGGTCAGAGCCGTCGGCACGATGATCAACTTTTTCGCCTGGAACTTCTTCCTAGAGACAATGCCCATGTTGGGTTTGCTGACTGCCATCAGATCGCCCCCATCGACCTCGAATTTCGACGTCAAAGATATCATGGCCATAGCAATTGCTGACTTGATGTTGATCGCGACGAGATCGGTAGATTTAGAAGCTGCGTCATCTGGCCACCCAGCGAGCAACCCTTTCTTGGTTGTAGTAAAGCAGTACTTCTCAATGGACTTTGGAATGGGGCACCGAATAACGATGTGGTGCAAGGAGCCATTCTGCATCACCTCCCGAATCCGAACGCCATCCTCCGACATCGAAGCTATCTTCCACGTTTTCCCTTAGACCGAAGGTGCAAGGGCACAACTCACGCACAGGGGGGCGAATACATGTAAGAGTTTTTATGTGGCGTAGAGGGGTGGCGGGTCCAAGGTGTTTGAGGGAGTTAGGGGGAAACTACTGAAACTGGTAAACCACCCGTAGCTCGGCCGCGCCATTGCACCTTCATCGTCCTTCCTCAGCCTGATGGTGTCATCAACCTTAAACCCTCTCTGCTCCAAGAGGCAGATGTTAGCGTTCGCCAGCTCCCCCGTGCTGGCGTCGCACTGCAGCATGCCACTGAAGGGGGTCTGCTTGACGGAGTCCCCATCGGCACCGCTGTCGTGCTGGGCCGACTGGCAGGTATACGGATTGTCGATCTCGATGGTACCATTTTGATTCGCCTTCAATGCCTCGATGCACTCGTGAGCGACGCACTCGATGTTTGCGTATCGCTCATCCACCCGTTTCCCTAACAACACCATTGCTATCAACTGGTCGGCCTTACCTATGATCGGAATGCGTTCAATCGTATCGGTATCGATCTGCCTGGAAACGCTGTGAAGATGCCGCAAGGCCTTCTCTGCTGCCATCGCTTTAGACCTCGCCTCCGTGCTAGCGAAGAGGGACGCGATCTCTGAGCGGGTCACAAACCTGCACATTCGACTCTGCACGGACTCGGGGGGGGGCGTTCACGTGAGCCTTGACGACGGCCATTACCAGGTGGGGCATCATCTCCGTCGCCGCGAGCTTTGCCTTGCACAATGTCTCGAACACGTACCCGCCCACCAGGCGCCCAGCGGGCGCGCACCTTGACACGAACTGCACGAGGTCCTCGATGAACTGGCCCTGGGACCCCCCACCATATTTCGCCACGAAGTCAGCGCATGTGCGGATATCGTCAACGTACTTCGATTCCGATTTGCTCGCCTCGGTCTTCACCCTCGCCCAGTCGATTACGGACCCGTCGCGCCCCTGCTCGGATGCAATGGCCTGGATGTGAAGCAAGAGCTCGAAATGCGTTTCTTCACTCTGCACCTGGCCCGTCGCCTGCTTTGCCGACTGGATCAAACCTGGAAGTTTTGGCCAGCGTTCCTCTGCCTCCTTTTTCACCATCAACCACCTCAGCCAAGTGTCAAGTGCCTTTTCCAATTGTTTATCGTTGCTTTGGAACTGCCCCGTGTTGATGCGACCGTCGATGTCGGACAACGTTTTCTCCTTCGTCTCAACTCTCTCTAAGCAAGCCACCAGGAACTGATTTGCATGCCCAGAGCTCACGCTCCCTGCGATAATCGATTCGGGCGGGGATTTGCCAAACAGATTCGACGATCTCTGAAACTCCTGGGTATACTGCGCAATCGTGCCATTCTTACCTTCGATGCAAACTGAACCAGCCGTTGCCGCGAAACTAAATTTGTCCCTCACGATCTTAGCCCCCAGCCTGTGCACCTCGTAAGCCTTGATGCCCAATCCATATGTGTTTGAAGGGTGGATGCCTATTTGGTGAGGTTTTAGATACAGCCACACAGCCATACCAATACAAATTAACTTCTCGAGGATCACATCTACCATTCCGACAAGCCCATCTGCTAACGACAGTGCTTCCTCGATGGGGCCGTCCAGGGCATCGACCCCGTCAGCGAACGACGCCATCGCGCGCTCGATATCGAGGACGCTGCAGGAAATCGAGGTGCGACTCTCCTGGCGCTACGCGGCTGCGGGCCCGACTTCGATGGCAATCGAGTTCGATGGCATCGATTCCGATGGCAAGAGGAAGGGGGGGAGGAGGAGAAGGAGGAAAAGGAGGAGGAGGAGGAGGAGGAGACGGATACTGATAAGGAGAGGAGGGAGAAGAGAGGAGGGGGAGGAATAATGACTGGCACAAGGGGGGTAGGAAATGATGAGGGGAATGAGGAAGAGGAGGATGCCGACGACGAGGAAGAGGAGCTGGAGGCGAGGAAAGAAGGAGGACGAGGGCGGTCGCGGTGGGAGGGGGGCGCGGCGCCTGGCACTTGTTGCACGGAGGGGCGGGCGGCGCGCGCGCGCGCCGCTCGCCGCTCCGACCGACCAGACCGATCCCCCCCCACCCCTATATACCCCCACCCCCGCAACGATAATCGATGTCCTCTTCGATCATCGATGTCCCTCACCGCGGTGGGGCGAGGGGGGGGGGGAGGAAGGCGAGGCTCTCTAAGGCAAGAACAATCCGCGACCGTGGGAGTTACCATCATCGTCGTCGTCATCATCACCATCATCACCGTCATCATCGTCGTCGTCATCATCATCATCGTCATCGTCATCATCACCATCATCCTCATCATCATCATCATCAGATCTCTCTCTCTCTATCTCTCTCTCTCTCTCTCTCCCTCCCCCCCCCTCCCCCTTTTCTTCTCACTGCAAGGAGCGCCCTTTCTTGTAATGGCTGCTCACGACACTCGCGAGCGTAACAAGATCGTTTCACGATCCGTTATTTTGCGGGGGCAAGGGTGGAACAGTTCACGAACGTAAAGTGCACGCGCCTTCAGCGCCTCCGCTCTGCGTTTCTTTTCTTTCTTGCCTGCGTCGCGACAAGAAAGAAAAGTTTTTTTTTGAAAAAAGTTCAACAACCACGAAAAAGGACACGCATGTGCACACGCGCGGCGCGCCTCCTTCTTCTCTTCAATCGCGGGGTGCTCGTGCGACCCGTAGAACAGACAATTACAAGGCAGGGGGGGGCGCGCGCCGCGCGACTGCTGATAAGAGTATCGCAGGCGGCGCGCGTATGCATCGATATCGATATCGACATCGACATAGGATTGTGCATGTGCATACATGCGCATGTGTACGTGCGCGCGCGTTATCTACATCGCAATGCGTGAACACACCTTACACGCGCATATGTGCAAAACTATGTGTGTACAAACCTGATCATATGTAAGCGTATGTGTGAAACGCTGTAGTATATGACTGAATCCCATGATGCATATATAGAAAACCACAGATCGAGGATTTACTTTGGACATACTAACTCGGGGCTAATTCGACTTAGTAAGTCGAAATAATTCGACTTGGTAAGTCGAAATGGTTCGACTTAGTAAGTCGAAGAAGTTCGACTGACTAAGTCGACAACTTCGAGTTATAATTCGACTTATAAGTCGACTTATAAGTCGGCTGTCGACTTAGCTTTTAGGTTATAATTCAACTTATAAGCTGACCTAAATCGATCACCTAAGTCGGTTATGCTAAGTCGGCCTAAGTCGACTTATAACTCGACCTCGTAAGTCGCCTAAGTCGGTTAGTAACTCACGTCCTCAACTTATATCTAAGATATAATCCGCCGTTCATCAAAGTATTGAGCAACCCAAATGCAAGCAATGCAAAATTATTCACTGCGTGGAGCTCCCCATATGTGCATCTACTCGCATGGACCTGTCCGCCGTGAATGTCTAGGCGCAAGAGCTTTCGATTATTAACGGGCTTCAGTTGTGACGGTCTCGACATCAATCTAACTGCGAATGAATTGGAGTGTGAATGAGCCTCAGTAGTACGAGCGCGTCTCTGTGCATGAGCCTGGGGCCTCCTTGGGCCTCCTGAAACCTACTGGGGCTTCCTGGGGTCTCCAGGAGCCTCTTGGGACCTCCTGGGACCTCCTAGGAAGGTTTCGTGCCCCAGGAGAGGCGCAATCTATAGCAACAGACGTACATAAAACATTGCGGATTAGACCCGCAGGAGAAGGGCAATATATAGGAACACGCGTAAAACACCAAGGACTCGTGCCCCAGGAGAGGCCCAATACATAGGAACATGGGTAAAACATTTAGGATTGTGTACACAGGAGAAGGACCATCTATAGAAACATACGTAGAACATCAAAGAATCGTGCTCCAGGTGAGGCCCAATCGATAGGAGCATACGTAAAACACATGGGATTGGAGCCACTCCTGTTGCCTTCTGAGGCCTCCTGCTCCTGGGGCCTCTCGGGGCCTCCTGTTGCCTTCCGAGGCCTCCTGGCGCTTCCTGTTGCCTCCTGGGGCCTCCTGTGGTTTCCTGAAGCCTTCTGGAGTTTCCTGGGGCCTCCTGGAGCCTCTTGGGACATCCTGTGGCCTATTGAGTCTTTCTGTGGCCGTCTGATGCCTCGTGAGACCACATGTGGTCTCCTGGGGCCTCCTGGAGCCTGTTGGAGCCTCCTGTGG